CATTGCAGCTTTCTTTTCATCGCATTACCCGGTTTACTATAACCCTAAACCCTAACCCCCATATATTATATATGCATGTGTATAACCCTTATAACCATCCTGGTTAAGCGTGTTCATCCCCAAACAACTCACCCTTCAGAATTCTGTCCTATGAAAGGCCGAGGAAGACGTCAAGTTCGATCGCCTGGGCAAGCCGCGGGCAGCAGATGATCTAGAGGAAGAGGAGGAGGAAGAAGAAGAATCAGGGGAAGAAATCACTGCAGCAGAGAAGGACTGATTTGTAGATTTCGTCCCGTATAGTGATTAATGCGTTCATGCTTTAAAACCTAGATTCGGTCATGCAGGAGTATGCAAACTTCAAGAAGTTCACGCAGTCCCTCCTGGCTCGGTCGAACAAAATTTCGGATGTCACGCGTGAGATCGAAAGCTACATAGCGGAGTGCGATCTTGGTGATAGTGACTTGAAGCGTGCCAAAAAGCCACTTACTGAAATTAATCCACCTTCATCTGGATGTACTGCATTAGACGGTCAGGGGAATTTATATATAGTTTATAGGGTTTAGGGTTATAGTGACATGATTCACTGGTGTTAGGTCGATCTCTATTCGGCCATGCAAAATTTAGTTACTTAAGGTGCATCGTCTCGTTGGAGACGGCCTCCGAGACCCTGGTAAAGCACTTCGAGGATGCCGGGCAGGTTTTGGCTGAGGTTAAGAAGCTCCAGTCCAAGAACATTGATGATGCTACCAAGAAAGAGCTTCATTCCAGCAAATAGAAGACACCCTTGCGCGCAGTGAAACCCTCCTATATAGTCGTATGCCTCAATGAGGTTGCTGAGCAAAGTTGACAAGCAAGTTGACGACACAACTGTTGCGCGCCTTGCCTACATAGCTGGTGCAACATGATTTTCAAAAAAACCGCAGTTTAGGGTTCAGGGTTTAGAGATCTCGATACATATTAGATTTAAAGAGTAGGGTTCGAGTCCCTTAAAGATTGTCAAGAACCACTTGGCGCTTCGGTATAACGATTGCGTGGTTTTGACTCCAAATCATTTCTGGGTGCTTTTGGGTCTCTGTTCTGTTGTGCCTCTTTAAACAATTTCTGGGCTGGTTTATGGCTCTCCCAAACCATTCAAGGGCTTTTGGAAATAAACGTAAACCCTAAGAAGAAATCAGTTGGACCTATTTACAAGTTTACACGCAATGCTTTCGTTCGATCCATTTCTTATAAACCAACGTCGCAGCAGTCATGCAATTGTGCATGTATATTATTCTAGGATTTATGTTTATCATTTAAATTGTCTTCAGGGTTCAGGGAATTCCGTCTTCATTTCGTTGCTATCTAGCGACTTGGGGTTTAGGGATTAGGTTTAGGGTATAGGATTAAGGGTTTTGGCTTTATGGCTTAGGGTATGTCATGCTGCGCCTGCAGTTCTGAGGTGCTCCAAAGTGACCACGGCGGAAAGCACCTCAAAGATGCTGGGCGGCATCGTGGGAGTTGTGTTGGGTCCTACTTGGGGTCCAATGTTCCTATTGTGTGTTGAGGACCTTGCTGAAGCATCTTCGAGCAACCTACGGCTGACCCAACAAAAAATGGAAAGCCCATTTTGGGCACGTTTGCTTCTTGGGGTTGGTGTATGCGCTTACCGACTCAGATCAGCCAGTCAGCCCTCATCATTTTAATAGCCAGCAACAGAACCACGGGCATGCGTATTGACGTTCGATCATTATACCCCCCAATACTCTCATAACCCCCCTGATGTAGTTTAGACTGTAGCTCATACGCAAGTCGAAACCGTAGAGGCTTCAAGTGACTGCTTGATCGCGAGAAGGTGGCATGTCAGTCGTGGGAAATCCCATGCAGGTGAGCTTTCAAAGTGCCATGCTGTGGCGGGAGAAAAACAATCAAATTGGCTCACACATGCAGCTCTACGAATTGCTTGGGCTTCTTGCGTGCAGCTTTCGTCCCTCTACGTTTATAATGGTTCCTGAATGCCAGGCTGGGACCCGGGCAACGTAGTTCGTGATGCTGCCAAGTCGGTAGCTCGAGGAGCCCGGGCCTTTGCGCAACAATGATTTTCACGCAATCCTCAATTAATCCCATGTTCATTTGATATTGCATTGCTATTTCCTGCATGAAAGTGAAGCTTTCCTTTGCTGGCCGCAACAAGACCCAAGCAGTTCAAGGGAGGGTAGGTAGGGAAAAGGGGGGTTAAGGATCATATATAGGAATATGAGTCCCACTTCGACACATAGGATGGATTGGCAATATGGGAATTGTGGAATCACATGAAGTGCCCAATAGGCAATGAACAAACATACTGAAAGTACTCGTAATTCGTATACATCGAAGCTGAGTAAGAGCTACGTAACACTGTTTGTGAAATGCCATGTCTTGCCCAAATTCTTCGCAATCGATGTGTGACCTGCTGGACCACCTCACATATGACTGCCCTATCACTGGCAACAAGCGGTGCGCTGTGGAAGCTTTCCGTACCTTATCCCCGGCAGTTTCAACGAGGACGCATGATGCCTCAATTATATTATAGGTGTTGCCTGCTGGATGGAACAGTGACAGTAAACTCCATGCACCTCGACATTCCTCCCTGCAGGACCAACCAAGCTACTCCCCCAATTGCGAAGTCCTCTGACCATACTGCCACGGAATGCTATGATCAGCTTGACCAGGAGTTTCGTGCGTGACGACTACCGCGTATACATATATAGGGGAATTTCCCAAAACAGAGGGCCTTCAGAATCAAGATGAATTATATGAGTTCAGGGTCAAAAGTGGCTTATGCGGGATCCTTCTAATATATGAGCTTTATCTTAAACTCCATCAAGGGGCCAGGATATATAGGTGCCGGATTATATCAAGTACGTATCATAGGGTTACTCAGCTAGGGGGATGCTAGGAGTTTCTACTATATAGCTCATGTTGATCAAATTGTAATGTAGGGGTATTTTCCAAAATTGGTCGATCATTGTACATTAGCATGTAGGGCGGTCTGGGAGCATGGCCCACCAGGATGACAGCTGGCACAGATCGCTTTCCACGTCTCCAGCAGTGCCTTAACATTTGATGAGGTGTTAGGTTTTCGTATAGACTTTATGTAAAGATTTCGGTGGTAGATGGTGTACGGGCACTAGCATTTTTTGTTCCATATCCTGCACGCATGCATGGATATACCATAAACCTGGTTACTTGCCTCGTGCCTTCCTTTCCCTGCCTATTTCATTATACAAACTGCTGGGACGATGTAGAAGCTGTTCAACTTTGGGGTTTACGAGGTTTCATGAATTGGGCTTGCTCATGACCTTATGAAGTTGCTTCTAATGGAAATGGTTTTATTTCGTGATCAATTATTATGAAGAGTCTGCGGCCCCATGACAAAAGCTGCTGTGTAATATCTAGGAGTACGTTTCTGTGGGACTCGGGGCAGTATTTGGGGTTAAGGTTTCTTTGCGTGGGACTTGGGTGAATAAGGTTTTACACATATTCGAATGTGATGCTCGTGTAGCATATGCTTTCCTGCTAAGGTTCTTCTGGAAGATCTGGCTCTGCACTTCGTTCCTACAAACACTTCTTGGGATAGGCTGCGACCTTATGGGCTGATACGAAGGATTTTGCCGCCAAGTCCAAAAAGGCCAACAAGTGGGAAGCTGCTAGCTCATGCTCGTCAGAATATTATTTCATTCAGGGAAAACATGGGCATCAGTCTTTGTGTCTTCAAGATTGGGGTGACAGCGAACCCTGCCCGCCGCTACATTGCCTACCTCGAGAAAAATTTCACTTCCATGTGGATTATCTACATGGGTGATTGTGTTCTTGAGATACACATGCTAGAAGCTGCATTAATTCATGAGTTTCACTCGTGCAGCGGCTGCCGAAATTCACCCAATACTGGTGGAGAAGGGGCTTTGAACAGAAAAGATTCACTTGGGCCTTACTATTTGTATATAACTGGAGGCCGGGCTGATCAGAACAAAAGAGTGGGCTAACCTGCTCGGCTACGTAGGTCTGAACAAAGTTGGGAGATCACCCTGCTGAGTTGTGGATCTGGCCACTACTCGTGCAATAAGAAGAAGCGAAAAAATGAATTCCTGTCGATCAGTTGCATTCTCAGGAGGCTGCACTTTGCTTTTTTTTGAGCATGCCACTTACCCGAACGCATGATTTTTCCTCTGCTGTGCCGAGGCCTCGTGCAAGCACGTGGTTGAGAATGCAAGAGCTGCTGTGCGAGACAACCCCACGACAGCCACGGAAGCTTTGAAGGAGCTTGCCGCAATCCGCCTAAAGGACGCTGAGGAAGGCTGCCACAAGCTCTTCAGAAAGTACAGCTTGACGGTTCCAGTTAAGATTGAGAAGCTCAATGTCGGAACTGGGGAACTCCAGCGTTGTCCCGTGGTTGTTTTGTCGACTTGGGTCAACTACCTCCTAGATCAAGACAAACTTTCTTTCTTGACTGGATTTGAGAGCGAAAGCAAAAATTTTGCTTTCATTAAATGGAGCTGTACTTGCAAGAGTATTGGGCCCGCTATCGCGCACTACACCCCCGACATGAAGTTTTTGGTATGGCAGAGCGAGATGAGCTTCAGCTTAGGGGGTGCATACCAGTTTACAGCCACATCGATGAAGGACGGACATACAAGTCCAAGGCATTGCTCATCCTTTCCGTGCATGGAGCCCTGGGTCGAGGAACGAGAAGCTACAACAAAAGAATGGGCGTGCGCAAACTGCATCTGAAGAAGGATCCAATGAAAATGAATTTCATTGGGTCTACATGGGGGACGCAGTTTATCATCTTTTCTCTACTCCGAACAGCCAGTCTGGCAAACCCTGCAGCTTTCGACGCGCTCATGCTGCGCTTCGCTTCAGACATGGCCATGGGGTGTGGAACACGGCGGGCTCGAAACGTGTGTGGATCCAGCGCATAGGCCTCAAGGGGGGATCTTCCAGCATTATCCAAGGCAGGCAAATTGGAGAGATGTTTCTCGCGCATGCCTCGGCATGTCAGTGCACGGGCAAAGTGTCCTGGCATATGTTTCTTGTGCTTGGCTGGAAAGGAGGGTGACACAGAAGCGGAAAGCACCCCGTTTGAAGAAATGCATGCTGGGGCAAAGTGGAAGGCTACAATCATGCAGGAAGCCCCTTGGACAGACCTTCCCCATGTCATGCAAGGGTTGCCTTGGGTGCCTGGGGAGGAAGCCTCCTTCCTGAAAACAGATCTGTGGCATAATTGGCACAACGGAATAGGAAAAATCTGGTTGGCCTGCAGTTTTGTGATGCTGGCTACCCTGAATGTTTTGCAGGGTGGTAGTGTGGACAGCAAGTTTGAAGAGCTGACCGGCGAATTCCTTTCATGGGCCCAGCGTGCGGGAATTTCACCTTACTTGAGGCAACTCAATCGAGACACTTTCTCATTCCAGACCAACAACTCAGATCCACAAGGTTCTTGGTCAAAAGCTGCTGCCACAACGCAGTTGATGCTGTTTCTTTCGTCATTCTGCGATGATCGAGTTGAAGGTCGAACAGCTGACCCACTTCTGACGGCCATCGCAACTTGTCGTGAGAGTCTGTTTGTAAAAGAATGTTTTTTGCGGGTTTTGATTGTAACGATTTGGATCGTATTAAATATCCCAAAATCCAAGTTTTGCGTAGCCGTCATGATTTCAGGCGAAAGGGACCAAACTCATGAACATCATCTTATCCGTGCTGTATGGGGAAGGGTATTGGATCCCTCCTTCGAGAGCCAAACAGTTGGGCCTCATGCTTCGCAACTTCTTGATGATCTACCAGGAATGCGCCTACGAGTGCTTGCAAAGAAGACTAAATAGGTTCATCCTGGTACCCAAGATCCACATGATGGCACACCCAGCTGAAGAGCTCATTCGTGATGGTGAGCGAGGTCTGTGGTCAATAAACCCACTCGCAACCTCAAACCAACAACAGGAAGATTTCATCGGAAGACCCTGTCGACTGAGTCGCCGGGTCCATCCGAAACGTTTGCATACCAGGGTCATGGAAAGATCCTTATTGGCCTCTTATCATGTCCTCTTTGCATGATGTGGGGAACTGGAATCTTGAAATCAAATGATCCCTTCAATCTTAAGCCCTGCCCTTTGTAGCTTCAGAAAATGAGCCCGGCACCCCACAGCGCGAACGTGGCACCGATGAGATGGATGCAGGCAGCAAAGCGACAGGGAAGGCTTTCTTGGGTTGAGGGCTTGGATCTTAATTTGATTTCAGGGCAAGTCTTTCAAGTTTTGGGAGTCCTTGAGGCCCAGAGAAGATTTATGAACTTTAGTCACTTGTTGAAACCTTTGAGAAGTTAGGCTTGTCAGTTTCTAGGCGGTACAGGGAATGGGGCCTTTTAAATTCCAGGAGTTCGCCAAAACCTCAGCATTCCCCACTAAGAGCATATATAGTGGATGTCAAGTTTAATGCATACATACGCCAACCCCAGAATCTGCATATAAGGCCTGACCCATATTTTGGCATGTGACCCTCTTCTTGATTTGAAAAGTGGGGCGTCCCAAATAATGGAGGCCTAGGCGGCTTCAGGTAGTAGTACCAGTAGCAGTGGTAGTAGCAATAGTAGAAGAAGTAGTTGTAGTAGCAGCAGTAGCGGCAGTAGTATGAGGACGCCGCCACCGCCACCGCCACCGCCCCGCCACCGCCACCGCCACC